CTCAATTGAAATACTACTTTGGAATATTTTCTCAACATCAGGGTTCAAGTTTGTTATTTCTACTGAGACATCAGGTCAGAAGAAAAGAACAATAGTGAGAAGGCATTCATGGCTTTGCATTATCAGAAAGTTATCCTGCTGTTTCAACTGTGTATGATTGAGCATATTGTCATTGATGAAGAATTTTTATTTATTTTTGATCAAAGACTTCACCATGTTTTCCTGACCTTTTCAATCTCCTGGATGCAGAGGTTTAACGTGAGCTCTCCTAGGTACTGGGAGAAACTCTGATAATGACCCCTGAGAATGAGCTCAGTGGTGAGAAGTCCAAGGACAGGATGAGGTCGACATTGCACGTGTTTTTGGAATAAGGTAGCTTGACTAGAAACTGTAATTGTGCAAGGCCAGCTATGCACTTCTGTGTGAGCTGATCCCTTATCATAGTCCCAGTCTTAAATATTCACTACCAGTTACTCTGTGTTCTCAGTACCCACTGTGCTGATTGATCCTCTGCCTTAACTATATGACATCCCTTCTTTTATGACAAGTGTTAGGAAGATGATCTTCCAGGCTCTTCTTCAAAGGAAAAACATGATTTCTTGCAGCAGGATGCCCGCCATCTCCAGCTAATCTGTCTTCTGGGAAGATGTCCAAATATTTCTTTGAAAGTTTCCCATGCATCCCATTTAAAGAATATGTACTGTCACCTGGGTCCCATATTGGAATCTGCCACACAGGAGCCAGCCAGTTATTGACTATTGTCTCTTTCCCATCCATAAAATGAAGACTTCTAAGAATATATTTGCAAGTGAAGCCAGGCTGAAAGCTTAGAATTAAAGCAGAGTTGGTGCTCCTTAGCTCCTGTGAAGTGATCTAAAAAAAACCCTGATGGGTTCTGCTAGTGACTGAGACAGTGCTTGCTGGGATCCCTGTAAGCATTCAATCTGTGTTCCCTGGACCATGTTGAAATCTGGGCAAAAGTTTTCCTGATACTGCAAAAGCAGCTGGTTTCTGAGGTTCCTCATAGTCAACTCTTTCATTTCTTTGATTTGAAGTAACCCAGGTCTAATACCAGCTAGACCTTGATTACGTGCCCCTCCCATCTTTTTTCCTCAATGACTGTGTGTGTATGCATTTGTGCATATGTGTTTCTTGGCCTAATACTAGGCTATCTTTTAATTGTAATACACATTTAATACTGAACTTCAATTCTAAACTTAACTGATTCTCTAGACTAGGGCATAATATGTATGCATGTGTATGTATGTGTGTGTATATGTATGTATGTATATATACACACATATGTATAGTTTGTTAAGAATTTTTAAGAATCAATATAAATTGTAAAACAACAAGATTCAGAACATTTTAGAGATAGAGAAAAAGAGATATGTGTCCGAAAGTGTATGAGAATTGGTATCTTGGGTTCTGTTGGTGGCTCTTTTGGCAGTGAGATCTGGGGCAAGCCACTAACAGTTTAGGCGGAGTTTCTGTTTTCTATGTGTTTAATGTAACTATCCTGGACTATATCAGAAAAGAAGATTGGAATATTTCATGTTCCAGATATCTCAGACTTCATCTCATTTTACCACTCATTTATCATCCAACAAATATTTATTCTATGCCTACTGTGTGCAAAACACTGGACTGGTTTCTGAGGATACATTGGTCCATTTGATGGATGTGGCCTTTGCCCTCCTGGGGTCCACAAGTCTCCAAGCATTCCTCCAGGGACCGTTAGGCTGCACATGATAAATCAGTGAGGACAAACTAACCAAACCTCAGTGTGTCCCCACACCACAGTTCTCTTTGGCTTTGTCTCCTGAATCCTATGTATCCAAATGCAGGCACACCTTCCAATTATCCACTTATTCTAATAATTTATCTCTGCTAACTTCTTTATCTCCAATTCAGTCTCTCCACCAAATTGTTTTTGGAGGATATAAAAACAAATGAACATGTGCCCTCAAGAAACTTAGAGTTTAAAAAAATATTAGAGGCAAATATGTAGCTGGATATATGAGCAAATTCAGGGCTGAGTAAAATCTCCTAGTACAGGATATTAACATGTTTCATAGCCTATGACTCAAATATGCTTTATAATAGCTGAATGTAACCAGGTCACCTTATGAAAAAAAAGCAGTATGATAATAAACCAGGTGTCCTTTATCTCATTACAAAATTGAAGGGCAAAAGTAGTTGGGTCTTACATTGGTAGATGAAAGAGTGGGCTAAAGTGGAGAGGATTTCCCAGATTTCTCAGAGAAATTGAGACCTAAAGGGCAAATTAAAAAAAAAAAACTTAAGGCTTAAGGAAGCCTGTTGTTTTTGTGAGCAGAATAGCTTTTGGTGTCTGATAAAGGCTTCTGTGTAACTGGGGGAGTTACAGACAGATTGATTACAAGTAAAAATGAGGGGGGAAGCATACTAAA